AATATATATATATATATCTATGCTTATTATTAAACTGTAAAGAATAGAGCTAGACAGGCAACTGTTTGTCGCATTCAAATGACTTGAGTGAATGGATTTTTTAGAGACAAGGGAATGCCATGGAACAAAATAGTGGAAAAGGGTAGGGACTATTCACTATATATTCACTATATAGATATAGGACCTCATTATTAATTTAGAATCAAAATTTATTCCATTCTGTGATTGTTAACGTTTTTTAATTTTCCTAATTTCTTCTTTATGTATGGTAGAACATATTTCGTGTTTTTTGGGTACGAAATTGTTTGCACTAACTAAGATTTTTTGTCCATACTTAAACTCGGGTAGTGACATCTATTTTCAAAAATCACTCTAAAAATATGGTGTTTTTGTATCATTTTTTTTACACTATTTTGTATGTTAGTTACCTTACCAAATTATCATGTTAATTTAGAAAGTTTTGTTCATAGCCATTTCTTATATATCAGATTGAAATGAACATTCTCGAATTTCTGAGAGTCTATGGTGAAAGTCAAATAATAGCTATTTTATTAGAGTTAAAAATATACCGAGAGACACACAGACACACACACACACACACACATGGATTCACACACACACTTTTTTTAATAAAATGAATGAGCACTTGGGGCAGATGTATTATCCTATCCCCTAAATACCGATCCGTTATATGTGCTAATTCAACTCAGCTAAGATTCAAACTCGGGATAGAGGAGACTTAAGCCGAAGCTGCCTTTCAACAGGCCACGGTTGCACATAGATCTATACATACATACATACATACATACCTATATATATATATATATACCTACCTATATATATATATATATACCTATATATATATATATATATATATATATGTATATATAAATTTATATGTGATCTATTCACGCGCGATTTAAACTAGATAATATATATATATATATAATATTATTATTATTATTATTAAACGGTAAAAAATAGAGCTATACAAGCAATTGTTTGTCGCATTCCAATGACTTCAGAGAATGGGGTTTTTAGAGACGGAAATGTCATAGAACATAATGGTGGAAAAGGGTAGAGATTTCTCACGATATAATTATAGGGCCTCATCTTTAGTTTGGATTCAACATTTATTCCATTCTACAACATTTAATGTTTTTAAATTTTCTTAAATTTTCTTACGAATGTAGGGTGGAACATAATTCGTCTTTTGGGTTGAAATTGTTTGCGCTAAATGAAATTTTATATGCATACTTAAGCTCGGATAATAATTTCAGCTTTAAAAAAAAACACTCTGAAAATAAAGTTTTTTTGTAACATTTTTTAATGTTATTTTGTATGTTTGATACCTCACTAAATAATCATTCAAATTTAGAATGTTTTGTTCATAGTCATTTCTTATATGCCCGATCGAAATAAATATTATCGGTTCTCTGATAGTCTTTTATTAAAGTCAAATCATAGCTATTTCTCTAGAATTAATTATATATATATATATAAAGATTAACTAGAGGCTATTACGCAAGCCTCCCGACCAATCTCATGTGTTTAATAATTTCATCCCACACATAGGCGGGATCGAACCAATGACCTAGTGGTCTTACAAACTCTACAAACCAAAGAGTCACTGTAAGATATAATATATAAGTTGAATTGTTTGTCGCATTCTAATGACTTCAGAAAATGGGTTTTTCAGAGCAGCTGCCATGATTTGCATTTAAGATTTTCTGCTTGTTTTGGTTTAAACTTGATTTTCTGATATTCTTCAGTTGGATGATCTTCCTGCAATGACTCTAGGAGTATGGTCTGCAGAAAGCCACATACAATTGAGAGCTACAACGCAGTTCCGGAAGCTTTTATCTTTTGGTAAACATGCATAATTTGATTCTTTTCTTTATTTGTTTGGTGTCATGGTTGTCTGGATTCTAACAATTGTTTGTACCTCAACAAAATTTTAGAAAAGTGTCCACCTATTGAAGTGGTTATCAAGGCAGGCGTGGTTCCCCGGTTTGTGGAATTTCTCTCAAGATCAGATCTTCCACAATTGCAGGTGTCATTCATTGGTAGTAAATTTTACTTAATACATATGGCTCAGTTGCATGTATAACTGTATTTCTCTTGTAGTTTGAAGCCGGATGGATTTTAACCAATGTGGCATCTGGGACTTCAGAGCAAACAAGAGTCGTCGTTGATCATGGAGCTGTTCCGAAATTTGTGCAACTTTTGAGTTCTCCCAGTGATGAGGTTCGGGAACAGGTAACAGGCTGAGCATCATTTTGTATAAAATTTTCTTAGAAGTTACATTGCTTTGACAGAACAGTCCTCATGTTTGAGCAGGCTGTATGGGCATTGGGGAATGTTGCTGGGGATTCATCAAAGTGTAGGGACATTGTTCTTGAGAATGCTGCACTTTTTCCATTGCTTGCTCTGTTAAATGAAGGGTCAAAAATCTCAATGATTAGAAATGCGACATGGACCTTATCCAATCTTGTTCGTGGCAATCCTCGTCCAGCTTTTGAGCAGGTGTGGACCATACCTATCTTTTCTTCTTGGTTTCAAACTATTGCTTAATTTTTTCAGTGCAAGATGTTTGATCGTTTCTTGTTGATTTAATTAGATTAGAGATTCACTTCCGGTACTGCAACGCCTTGTCCATTCAACTGATGAAGAAGTTCTGTCAGATGCTTGCTGGGCTCTCTCATATATGACTGATGGAGCTAACGACAGAATCCAGGCAGTGATTGGGGCTGGAGTCTGTCAAAGGCTTGTTGAACTTATAATGTATGATACTCATACTCATGCCTTTAACAGTTCATTCTTAATGTATATGCTTGCATTCTAAAACTGGCTTTGCTTGTACTTAGCTATCCATCTCCCACAGTTCTTGTACCTGCTCTCAGGACTGTGGGAAATATTGTCTCCGGAGATGATGTTCAGACACAGGTTCGAATCTTGACATGTTTACCAATTTGTGTTGCTTACTTTGTGAACGTAGAAGGAAAATATTGCTTCATTCGTTTATCAGCTATGACAGGATATCTAGAAATGCTGACTCACTGCATCTTATCGGTGGAATTTATGAGTTACACATTGCTTTTAGTTTGAGAGAATCAATTTGGTTTCATTGACATGAATATCTACCTTTGAATTAATTTTTGCATTAAGACAACTAATGAATGTATCTTCATTTGATTTTTGTTGAATTTGAACAAATATACGATCAAGTACCACGATAATTGATTTGGTCTTCATTGATGTAGCAATGTCTATGTCAAATGATTTATTTTTCATGGAGAATCGACTACTATTATAAGTATTTGTGGAGTATCATTAGTAGTTTTAGATCTGATTATCAATGACTATATAATTGAAGGCATCCATTAAAGATTCACTAGTGGTGTACTTATCTTCCAAACATAGGTTAAGCTTATCCTCAGACCCTCTTCCTGTCAAAAATTTGAGAAAAATAGGCTAAATTCTGAATAGACTCGATGTCTTTTCCCTTTACTTTCATTCCATTAAATAATAATCTTACAATCTATTTTAGGTACAAAATATTCTGTATAATCTATTTTAGGTAACTTAATAATATATATTCCTAATCTAAATAATAAGCTAAAAGGGAAATAAATCAGAATAAAGATATTAGAAATAATTTAAATAAGGAAGCTAATAATTATAGAAAACTCCTAATTTTGCGGCTTGATTTCCGTCCTTCCTGATTGACATCCCCCTCAAATTGATGCTGACTGATCAGGAAACATCAATTTGCCAACAAGAAATTGATAACACTGTAGGGACCAACAATCCTCAAGCCCTGAGTGTCGAAGTCGAAAAGGCAGAAACCTAGAATTCTGAAGCCTCAGAGACAACTCCTGAACCACAACATGATTTGAGCAAAAAAAAGTAAGACATCCTTTATCATTGTCGTCCAGAAATTCGAATCATAGCCATAAGAAGGATCCGCTTCCAGTTACACGATCTAAATACTACCGATCATAGCCCATAAATAGGATCCATTTACACAATCCAAATGCTATCGATCATAGCCTACAAATAGGATCCACATTATAATCAAAATGCTATCGATCATAGCTCACAAATAGGATCCAATTACACAATCCAAATGCTATCAATCATAGCCTACAAGTAGGATCCGTGTTTTGATCTAAATGCTACCGATCACAGCTCACAAGTAGGATCCGCGTCTTATTATACGATCCAAATGCTATTGATTCTTGCTGCGACGAAGAGGACGATTTGTTCCTTGATCTTCACGCCAAAAGTGCCGAAGCCGTGAGTGCCGAAGCCGAGATTGCCGAAGCCATGAGTGTCGAAGCCGAAGATCTAGAGATTGTCGAAGCCGTGAGTGTCGAAGCCTTCAATCCTTGAGTGCGACAAAGAAGCATAAGTCGAAGCGAACGAAGCGGAAGAGGAAGAAGCAGTCGAAGATGCTGCAGAAGCAAGGATGGCTAGCGAAGGAGATCCGAAGCGGACGAAGCCTTCGATCCTTCGCCTCCCTGTCGTCGATTGTAACTCCAAAAATGAAGGTCATGCTCCGCTGCTTTCTTCACTTCTGAGTCACAAGCAAGACCGAACCAGGCCCGCCTCTCTGTGCTGTGATGACCAGAATGCTACATAAGAAGACCACTAAGCTGCTGCAGTTTCAACGATCCTTGCTGCTAAGCTGGCGCACCAATTTGGGGGGAAAACAAAGGATAAGGATGAAGTGGCTACCTCCGAAGGTAACACGATGGTCGAGGAAGATGACCATTTTTCCAAAAGCTATCTTCTCGGCTGTGCTACTGGATCTGTTGTGCCCGGATGAAGGGGGCAGCAATCGGAGGAGGAACTGAAGAGGCTTGTACTCGATACATGAAGTGGGGAGGGCAGCGGCAAGGAGGCAGATACGACAACTAGGATCTTTAAAAAGCTTTAAAGCCTTTCTTCCTCATTGGTTTTGGGTAGGAGAGGATCAGAAGGTGGAGGAGAATGGGGGTCTCTATAAGCCGTGATCCCGTCGTTGCGTTCTTAGCTAGTTGCGACCGTACCGCGTGAGTTTGGTCACAATGGGGACAATTTGGACGAAAAAGATTGACATGGGCACAACAGGTGGAGTTCGAACGAAGGAGAGGCTCTGTCAAGACTGGCCGAGTCGAAGAGCAAGACAAAGTAGAACGAAGACGGAACAAGTGAAGAAATAATGAGACGACGAGCATACGAGCGAGAATCAAGGAAAAGAAATAGTTCCTCCTTTTTTGTCCCACAAGAAGGCCAGCAGGAAGAGAACCTTGATGGTCGTCCAACGATTATTAGTGGTTAGGGCAAAAGTTTGGCTCTGATACCATGTCATAGGGTGAGAAAAATAGGCTGAATTCTAAATAGACTCGATGCCTTTTCCCTTTGCTTTCATTCCATTAAATAATAATCTTACAATCTATTTTAGGTACAAAATATTATATACAATCTATTTTAGGTAACTTAATAATACATATTTTTAATCTAAATATTCAGCTAAAAGGGAAATAAATCAGAATAAAGATATTATAAATAATTTAAATAAGGAAGTTCCTAATTATAGAAAACTCCTAATTTAGCTGTCTGATTTCTTTCCTTCCTGATTGACACTCCTTTGATGCTAGTACCATTAATATTTGTTTATTGGTTCCTTGATGTGATGGCTTCAACTTCACCTTGAATGCCTTGCTCATCCCTTTAGCTGCTCTTGTAAAAATCCTTCAATCTTTATGACATCAAAATCATTCTGTTGAGTAGTTGGTAAGGCTGATCATGCACTGCTTAATGAATCTCCTCACCATGAGATTCTTTGTCCTTGGGGTTTTATCTATTAACCTAATTCTCTCCTTGACTTATCTTTCCTTTCACGATGCAACTGGTAAGAAAATATTGTGGTAGAGTTACTGTTGCTCTCTCATTGCCTTAGTTTGAAGGACTGGTCAAATTAGTATCTCACTTCTCCACTGGAAGCTAATAGTCTTTTACATCCCCACTTTCTCCAATGCCTTTCGTGTCACTGTTTACATTTTTCACTACTCTTTGCTTAGTTACACTTTCTCCAATGCCTTCCATGTCATTGTTTACATTTTTCACTACTCTTTGCTTAGAGATCACCCTCCCATTTGAGGAATCTAACGTAATGTGCCTAAAATTGTTACACTTAAAATCACTTTATGTTTGAAACAGATTTGAGAGCGTGGTGATTTTCACCTTTTCTCTACTTTGGATTGGTGTCTCCTCTGGCAGGTTAGTTTGAGTGCTCTATTGGGTATGCTCATGCTGACTAATCCTGGGATTAATCTTTATCTGCAAGGCGTGGTTGTCACTTAATAACATTACTGCTTCACCTGTAAAGCTATGTTATGTACATCTAGCAGGGATCAATATGGGTATAGTTGCAATAAATTATTGATAATTGACTTCCGTCCTCTAAGATATCTCAACAATGTGTGATCATCTGATCTCAACAACTAACATTTCAACATAAGTTGATCAAATTCAGGTTGTGGTGTTCTATGAACATATACTTTTAATAATGCAAGGGAAGGCATTTGCGTTGCATCTCCATTTTCAACTTATACCATGCGATGATCTTACTCTTTTGTTCCAGTTGTTAAATATGCTTCAAGTTTTCTCACCACAAGGAAGCATTCTTCCCGGGTTTGATGACTATTAATTTAACTTTTTTGTTATGAGGGATGAGGAATATAGTTATATGCAAAAATTTATTTCACTGTTCGGAGTCACTCAATGAACTAGTCCATTCATGCGATCGTCAAGATTTGGTAAATCCACCTTTACTCCAAGTTCATCCTCTCTCCTATATTTAATGCAACGCGACATGGACTCTTCATCACATGAAGCCTTTTGGTTGAAAATATTTCATCTCCTTCACTTGGGTGCTCATAGTTATTGTCGCTGGTGAATTCTTATGTCACCTTCTTTTAAAATCAACGAGCTTCTGCTGTAATTAGAGAATTTTTTGTTGTATGTCACTTAAAACCTTATTAAGGGTTTCTTCTTGTTGGTGTGGCATGTCGTTCTTCCACTTAATTTTGTGGCTGAAAAGGAATTGTGGTTTAGGGTTTGGGTTAGGGCTACGTAGATGAGGTGGGGTAAACTTTTTTGTCAGGGTATTAGGTTATGTTGTGTTAAATTTTTGTTTGGGCGCAAAGGAAACCAAATTCCTAAAAGAATTTAGGGTTTGTTAGGCACTAATGCCAGATGACACCGTTCTAGTGCTCTTAGAAGATATTTAAGAGATGGATTTAGCAGGGAGGTGGTTGTTGAGTGGCAAGGGAATGATAATATTGGAGGTCGTGGATGTTTGGAAGAGGAGTGGAGGCGTTCAACACCTGCCTAACTGGAAAACAATGTGCTGAATAGTGAAATGGCATGATAGGAACGGTGAGGAGGACCAAGTACCCATTTTTGAGCAATATATAAACACTACTTGCAAAAGGAATGGGATACAACACTTAGGAGAGCAGAAAACAGACAACGAAGTATCCAAAACACAAAAATAATAGCTAAAAACTTTGCAAACTGAAAATAATATGATATAAATAATTCCATCTTCTAATTTTAATTAAAGAGTAAATAAAAATAGGACTCAGAAGGCCTATGACAGTGAAATAGTGGGAAAGCCCTGCTCTTCTTGCGTGTTGGATTGCAGGACCTCACTATCGAGACGAGATTTAGTCCCGGTTCTCTACCCTGTATTTGTAAGTTCAATTTTGCGACTTGTGGAATTCCACAATCGTGGGTTGAGGGGGATACGAAACTCAGCTTCCATGATAGGCTTCTTCTCAAGTTTCTTCATTCACTAAGTCAGATATAGCTCTTTTTTCTATTTTTGTAGTGTGCTTTGGTTGCTTTTTTGGGTTGCCCCAACATTGAAAAATTTTGTAAGTTTTTTTCTTGGT